AGGTAGGTTACTTGGAGAGTTTAACTCCATTTAACCTCCCTAGTTGATACATTCATTTTGTATTTTTTCAATAGGGAAAAGGGGGTGACATTTAGCAATGCTTGAGGGTGTGCTTAGAAATTGGGCCTGAGTTGGGCCTAGGCAAAATTTTGCATATTGGACTCATTTTGCTCCTAATTTTTCATAGATTTGATTTAGCTAGGTCTCATCATCATATGATGAACCTAACTAAACCAAATCAAGGATTTTCAAATTAATTCATGGAGCCAAATTTGTCCAAGGCCGCCTAGCTCCTTTGTTCTCCTTTGGCCGAATTTTTCAAGCTACTCTTCTTGAGTTTTGAAGCTTGCCTTGCAAGCTTCTAAACTCAAGTAAGGTAAGCTTACCTTTCCATGGTTCTTAAGTGAACCATGGTCAAGGTTAGCTTCTCCTACAAGCTAAGCTAAACCGTGGGAGTTAAGTGTACCTTACCATGGTTCCTAGTGAACCATGGTTAAGGTTAGCTTCTCCTAGAAGTTACCTCTAACCTATATATTTGTAATTACCTCATTTGTATACACTTTTGATAAATTGAGAAATAAAACTTCTGAATTTCTTTCTCAAGAGTCCTCTCTAAAAACCGTGGAGAATTCTCTCTAAGGTCTCACCTAAGGTTCTTCAACCTTAACCATTGGTTCCTCAAGCTTCTACACAAAGCTAGGAGTAACCGAACCACCTTGAGGCTTCTCCTCCATTGAAGACATCTTCGTGGAACTTCAAGCTTCTTCCAATGGTCTACCTCAAGAGTTACGGTCCTAAGCATGGAACAAAGTGAAGGAACATCAATCTCCTCACCTAGCTCCATCACTTTCCTTGCTCCCTTCCATGATTGATGTGCTTGAAATAGTTGAGGAAGATGGCATAAGTTTAGAGCAAAAAGGTGAAGCATGTGCTTTATTGAATTCTATGCAAACTTTTGAATTTGTTTTCACCTTGCACTTGATGAAAAAATATTTTAGGGATTACTCATGAGTTATCTCAAGCATTGCAAAGAAGTGATCAAGATATTGTACGTAAATGCTATGTAATTAGTTTTAGTGTCCAAACAAAGATTACAAGCAATGAGAGATGATGGTTGGTCTTCTTTGCTTAATAATGTTCCATCATTTTGTGAAAAACATAGCATTGTGGTTCTAAATATGAATGACACTTTTCAAACACAAGAAAGGTCAAGGCGCAAAGTAGAGCAAGTTTCTAATCTGTGCCATTTTCAAGTTCAATTATTTTTTCAATTGATTGATTGACAACTCCAAGAGTTAAACAACCATTTCACAGAAGTAAATACTGAGTTGCTTCTTTGTGTAGCATGCATAAATCCAAGAGATTCATTTTCTATATTTGATAAGGAGAAGTTGATTCATTTACTCAATTTTATTCTTCTGAATTTTCTCCTGTTGAACTTTTGGCATTAGATAGCCAACTTGAAAATTATTTCATAGATGTATATTTTGACAACACTTTTTCAAAATTAGAAGGAATTGGTGATCTTTCTATGAAGCTTGTGGAGACAAGAAAAACATGTATAATCATTGGTGTATTTGCTTTAAGAACTAGCCTTGATACTACTAGTGGCTACTGCATCAATTGAAAGAGCTTTTTCGGCTATGAATATATATCATCAAGAATTGGATGCAAAATCGTATGAGAGACGAATGATTAAATAATAATTTAGTTACTTATATAGAGATAGATTTTTTATTGTATTGAAAATGAGAAAATCATTTAATATTTTCAAACTATGAAAGTTGGTAGAGAACAATTATAATATGTATTTGTCTTTATAAAAATTTTATTTTATATTTTAAACACTACAAATTTATGTATATAAATATTACCCACACAACTTAAAATTTATAAATCCATCATTGTGTGTTATACGTAATTTCATATAAAAATAGTTAAAAATTTATATAGATAAAATTATGTTTCTATCAATTTTTTTTTTATAATTATGTCACGTAATCTATTATATATATACTAATATTTTAGAATGTATATTACATAGGTTCATTAATCCATATTATATTATTATAATTTATATAATAAATTTTATATATACATATTATTTAGATAAATAAATTAATTATAATTAAAATTTGTATAAATATTTAAAAATATAAATTATATTTTAGATTTATGATAAATAATTTATATTATATTACAAGATTATTGTTAATTATTATTATTTATTTTAAAAATATTTACTTAAAAATATATATTATAGATACAATTAAAATAATTAAGGTGTTAAAAATTTCCTAAAATCCATTTCATTAAAAAAAAAACATGAAAACATCATAAGATTCTAAAAACACTAGTAATGTGTATTCTCATTTATATTATATCATAGGCACGTATTTTTTATTTATTTATCAGAATTATATATAAAAAAAACATCATAGCTCAAATTTAAAATTGTGTATATACCATTATAACCTCTCATCACTAAACCACATAGTGCTTGACAGATTTTATTGTTTAACGTATATGCTACGATGAGCAGACTCTGCAAGTCATTTTGTTTTGTTCGTAGAAAGTGGTATAAGGGCCATCTCACTTTAATTATAAAATTTCCACATTTATTGTTTTAACTTACGCGATGACTCAGTTATTTTCCAAGTCTTTCTTTGTTTTGTTCCACCGAAGTCATTTAATTAAGGGCCAACTAAAATCAATGAGAACAATGTGATTGAGAGAGACACTATCAAAAATGACTAATTCATATTACTTTATGAAAGAAAAAAAAAACCATTTAGCTTTTTTCCAAAGCCAATAAACTAATTCAAACACAATAGGTCACATATATGAATTTTAAGTTTTTAACAAAATAAAATAAAAATAAAAATATTTAAATAATTTGTGAAACTACTAGAATTTCTCTTATTATATACAACTTTTCATGCAAACTTTGTATAAAAATTTGTAGGAAATATTGTTCCTATGAATTTTTCTGTGAAATTTTATCTTTAAGTAATACTTTCGTGGATAATATTTATTGCGAATTTTAAAATTTGCAAGAAATTTTCCTGCAAAAATAATTCATAGGAAAGTTTCCTGTGAAATTTCTTGCGAAAAAGTTTCGCAAGAAAGCTTTTTGCAAAATTTCCTATGAATTTTTTCGCAAGAAATTCTGCAAAAAAATTTCTTATGAAAAAAAAAATCAAAAAAATTACTACAGAAAGTTTATTGCGAATTTAAAATTTAGAGGTAATTTTTGTATAAATTCTATTAATAATTCTCTAACTTTTAAATACTCATAATGAATTCATCCGAAACATTAAAATATCTCTAACATGTGATACATAAACTTTTAAACTCTTAAATTGTAGATTATATGTCTAATCCTAAATCATACAAAATCAACTTATAAGATGATTGTTGTCCCAACTTATATACTTTTTAATTTTTTTATTTCCTATCGATGTGAGACTTGAAGTTTTCTTTAAATATTAATTAGATCATGATTTTAGAAAGAAGATTAATCATTATATTGAACTACAATATTACATTATTATAAATTATTTTAACTATTAAAATATTCAATATTTTAAAAATTAATTTTTTATTAAATAATTTTATTTTAAAAAGTATCATTAAATTAAAACTCATCATCATTAATTTATAAATTTAATTAAAATAAATATTT